ACGCCATAAATCCAGCTGGATCAATCTTTAAGAGCTTTATCTGGAAAGATTGGCCGGATCGGAAGAACTACTCTGACCGAAGTCTAATCCTGATGTAAGTGCCGGCTGAAAGTGTCTCATTTCTCGCTTTATATCGGTGTTAAATCTTCCGCGAGATAACACGGTTTCTACCCAGTTCCGCGGCCCGAACCTCCGCGGCGCGGTTTACCGTGAAAGAATGAAATTTACAGGTAGCGTAAATTCTAAGGTGGATGCGCAGCCATTCTCGGAACAAGACCGCGGATAATTGAAGCGGATGCAATCGGGAGAACTCAGGTGCCGAAACGGGTCTTAAACGGGTTCGAAAGATGAGATAAGGACCCTATAATACTCGCTGAGATGAATTGCGCCGTGCATAAAGGTGGTAGAGAGGCCTCGGAGGTTCGTCATATTTTATGGCTCATTTTGTTACTCTTTACTGTCCGATCCCTGCACCGACGTCCGTCCGTCGTTAAATCTCTCCGCTCGCCCAACGACCGGGTGTCACTCGGACACCCGCGATTTGCAAAAATTAATCACGTCTCCCTCTTAATTGCGCGCATTATAGTTGTCGCGTAATGAATTACGGTGATAAATACAAATTTCGGTGACAACGACAGGGTGATACTCGGAGGATAAAGATGATGAATACAGGTTTCGATGAGAGTATCGGTAGTTAAGGGCCCGATAAATCGAGGTTTCGATCGTTAATGTTTCCTACAAAGAATTGTCTCGTATTCAAATAAAATAGTCGTCCCCTTAACTGTCGAACAGCTGATGCTATTTTGCGGAAAAATTGAAACAAGCCGAAACCAAGTCAGGCATTCTAATTCTGTCAAAAAAGTCAGCATTATTTTAAGCAACAAATCTCTATAGGAAACTAACCAGAGCGACTTACTACCTACAGTTATTAATAACCTAGCAGTCATTGCGACGATAAGCCTCCGATTAAAAAAAGAATAGTTGAGTCGTTTTTAGAATCGGTGAAGTTCTGTTTAACCTAAAAACTTCGTTGAAGTTGAAGTCTCTAAAAAAAACTGGTCGCGTAAAACGGGTCAGCCCCTTAAAGGGGGACGATCGTCGTGGAAACGAAGTCACGGATAATTCCGCCGTAATCCGGAGGAATCCTGTAATTCGCGTGACTCTACGATAAAATTTTTCCCGTTTATTTTTAGAGCGGCGCTCTCTGTCGGGCGACCAGTATCTCCGTGGCCGGTGCATCGAACCCCGCGATCGGTTCCAAGATTGAGATAAGCGGCTTGCGAAGAAATAAGTAGTTTAAGCCTGTTCGCGTGGCCGGAGATTGGTCTGACGTCGCTTCGCACCGAGAAGTGGGGATGTTTTATGCATGGACCCCGCGTTATGCATCATTCCAGGTGGATCTCGAACAGAACCCGTCGAACTCTGGTTCCGTGCGAGGGACACGTAACGCTCGATCGGAGAACAGTTCCTTTCAACGAACGTATGGAAACAAAAATTCCATGCGCGAACTCCGCCGTCTTTGCGAACAACAAATTCACATCTCATTAGAGTGTAACCAAACCATGACGGGAACCATATAAAATCAGTGCACCGAATAAAATCTGTGGCAGTGAGAAAATATAAATCTTCGCGACAGCCGCGTCTAAACTAGCTAAGTTCTCGCGTGCTCGTTTAATTCACAGTAAAATCCAAACACGATGATAGCGATGGCTGCCATTAGCATCACGGCTTCTTGCCGTCGCCATGATGGTAACCAGCATCGTTGTTCCAAATAAAAACTGTATTACCGGTAGGTAACGGAACACGCCACGAAGGGAGATACTCCGAAAAGGAAGGAGGTCCAAACGAACTTTTCTAAAATTCAAGGATCGCGTGACGGATCTCCGTGTATTGGGGATGTCGGGTAGAAGTGTGCTGGTGGGGGACGTTCGAGGGAGAGTGGGGGCGTGCGTTACGCAGGAATTAGGGTTCTGCGTGGTGGTGTGGAGGCAGCAGCACGGCAGCAACGGCGTTCGCACCGAGAAGCAGCCGCCGGCAGCAGCACCAGCACCAGCACCAGCACCAGCACCGGCACCGGCACACACGGTTCCGCCGTTGCGGAGAAGCCTTGTCGCTCTCGGCCGGAGCAGTCCGCGGCGATCTTCGGCCCCCACGGTGTTCCGTATGGCCATGCGTCGCCTCGACATCCTCGTCGACACTACTCCAAAACTGACAACCGACCCTGCGCGAAACCTCGAAGCGATCGTAAATCCCGCGCTAGCACCTCGAAGAGAACGGAACGATAAACGGAGACGCGCGGTCGTTGATCAACGATCGGGGGATCCGTACGCGGGAACGATCGCCGTGCTCCTCGACGCGAGCGTCACCGGGAAGATAAAGGACACTACTCGCGGAAGAGTCTCTGACGCTTCGCTGCTACTGTTCTTCGTCGATACGTTAGTAAAGATCGTTATTTTGTTTGGTTGCCAAGGGTCCTCGAGCCGCACGAGAGAAAGATTTATCTGTGACAGCAACGTCTGTGAAGCTGCGTCAGGCGGAACGAAATTTTCGCGCCACAGAGTGTCAGAACATAGTCGATCCCAGGGACTTTCCCAGAGGGTGACTAAAGATATTGGGGAGGTATTCATCGGGACACGAGTCGAATACGCTGAATACCAGTTGCCAGTTTCGTTATCCTTGCATTCTCGAGTTGCGATCTCGCGGCGACAACGGTGGCACGCGTCACTACCGCACACGCACCCCGAACTTGCCGCGGCAGCGGTTCGCATGCGGGAGGACCAACTCGTACGTGCGGTCCACCTATCGCTCCACAACTCGACGGCCGAGTCAGTGTTACTCTTGATTTCCGCGCGAGCGCCGGCCCCGGCCTAGCGGGGACGATACGCACGATCCGTTTCGTTCGTTCCTGACGATCATCCGCGTCGCTGACGTCGCGCGTCTCGATCCGTGCCGGCCGATAACCGCCGAAACAATCGGTCCTCGATTTTTTCGCGAACCTTTGTGCAATCCACTCATCCCAGCGACTGTTTCGTCGAAAAATTCAGCGTCCGAACGTCTAGTGAGGAAGCCTCGAGGAGATGTTCAGTGTTGCACGTTCACGAAGCTTGAATTTCGAAGACGCAACACGGTCCGATCGGATCTCATCCAGTGAACGATGAAAATCAAAGGATCAGTGCGGTCTGTGACACAGTTTTTTTCCTTTCCGCCGACTGTGAACTTTACGGGAGCTCCCCGTCGATGAACTTTAACGTTGCTGAACCGAGTTCCAGAAGATAAACGAGATAAACACCGTTATCGAGGCATGTGTATCGCGATCTGTATCGATCCGATAAACGTAATTCCTTCTGTTGTGTGAACGGTTCGAAGAGAACCGCGCCGTTTGACCGATTCGTTTCACGTTTTTTTCTCATCTTTTCACGAGTTTCTCGTTATCTCGGACACGTGTCGCCTTGGACGATCGGAAATTGGAAATTTTTCCACGTGCGAGAGGTAGCCGCTCGGAAAGACGGAATCGTAGCCGTCCATTCTTACAGGCGTTCCGCTAACAGAGACCGCGTATCGCAGCGGCCAGTAACGAGAAAATTGTCTGGAATGGTTACGTGAAACGGGCGTGCGACATTCATTGCAAATTACAACCGTCGGTTCCACGTAGAAGGAAGTGAAAAGGATCGACAGCACCGGCGCCAGGCCGCGACTCCTATTTTCCGACGCGAAGGTGTAACGTATCGCGCAATTAAATCCGGGTGACCGAAACGCTTGACGCGTTACATAACAGAGACGACCGATTATTCTATCGTTCACGAAGATACACATACAACATCGAAATCCTCTTAATCCGGACACGTCTCCGCAAAGGCACACCCATTTTCACGAAGAAGAGTCGCAATAAATCACATTAGACTTCAGAGAAATCCATAGCGAAACTTCAATCGAAAATCGGAAAAGAGAAACAGGGGGCTTCAGTTTTTTCGGTAGAAGGGAGAGAATTCCCAAGAGAATTCCCGAGAGAACCCAGGGAATCTGAACATTGCGGATGACAACGTTCGGAGAGACCGTTCCGTAATCTGATCGATCGATCATCCCCCCGCGTCGCGCGAATGAGCCGTCCGGTCGCCGGCTCAGACGTATAAAACAATCGTTATTATCAGCGCGCGGCGTTCTCGGCGCGGCGGACAGATAACGGCCGAGATCCGAGATTGCGATCGACCCCGGAGAGAAAATTACAGAAGATCCTCCGCGTGCCAGCTTTCACGGCGAATTCCGGTACAAAGGGTGGTGCTGCTCGGGGTGGAAATGAGCAGGAGCTAGGATCGGAAGGAAGCAACAACGCGCGCACGTAGTTAACGTACCCCCTCCCACCTCCTCAATATATATATATATGTATATATCTTGGCAGTAATGCGCACAAATTATGCGTCTCGCGCCTCCGCGGAGCAATGGCCACTGAGAAGCGGGCACCGGTCGCACGTTCACGCTTACGGATAGCCCGGCGTCCGTCGATACGCCCGCCCCCCTCGCTCTTCATATTCTTTCCACGCTTTGCTGCGGCGCGCTTTCTTATTCCCCTTTCCCCGGCGTTCGCTGCTTGTCTCGCCCTGTCTTCCACGCGTTGTTAAAGGAACGATCCCGGTAGATCGCTCCAGGCGGCGTTCATTCGTGAAATTCGTTCGACGTCCACCGCGGGACACGCGCGTTCTTCATCTACGTGACACATCCGCGAGAATCGTTCCGCAGGCGAGCAAGGTGCACGCATGTGTGACTGGGGTTTGTTCGCGAGTCCCACCGTCGTTTCCTTCCCGCACGCTGCAGGTTTTCGGGGAACGCCGTTTCGTGATCGACTCGTGCCCCGACGCGAGAGCTTCGGACCAGAGTTTCTCGAAATGTTCGGTTGTTTCTGGGCAACTGGACTAAATGAAGTTTCGCAGCTGCAGATGCTGAACACGTTTGATTGCATTGCGTTAAGGGATTAAGGAGTTTGTTGCCGTTGGATGATACTTGGGGGAAGGATGAGTGATGAGCTCTGAACGATTAGAGGATCGAAGATGTTGAAGGGGAAGATCGATCTGGTTGAAGAGGTAGTTTGAGTTCTTGTGGGAATATTGGGTGCAGAAGTTGAGATAATAGAGGTGGGACTGTTTGGAAATTTTCTGTGCTCGGTTGAAGCACTCCGGACGCATTGTGAAGCGGGACACGTTTAGAAATATTGTTGGGGACTTATCCTTCCTGCTGATTGTTGGGGGAACGCTCGTGCGACACTGTCGCGCGGACGTCAGTGAAAATAGGAAACATCGGGTACCGTTAGCTGGCGTTTCAGCGCGGGGTCCTCGTTTACCTAGATCTCGAAAGTGAACAGACACGTGTCGAGAGTGCAATTAGTTGGGATTTTGAGGATCGTGAGGCCTGTGCGGCTGTCAATCGACCGAGGCTGTTCGGGTATTACGAAATCGACTGGCGTCCCGGCGAGCACCGCCTGCTATCGACGAACCAACGACCTTGTGCCTACCGGGATCGCATCGATTGCCGTGTATTAATGGTGCGAATTGTTCAGTGAAGAGTTGATAAAGGGGCGAGGAAGTCGAGGAGTTCGAGTTCGTCGTGCCTGTGTTAAGGATAACGTCTGTGCTACTCCGTGGCGAGATTCTCAACGAATGATATCTACCGAAATTCGTGCGGCAATTGTTCTGGTGAGTATCCGCTATTGTTATTTTTTTCGTTGCTCCTTGCACGATTTTGGTGGAGACTGGAGAATTCGTTTTTAAATCGGTAAACTCAAAAGATTCTATTTCAAGTTGAAAATCTCGAATTGGATGATCCGATTTTAAATTGGAAATCTCGAATTAAAAGATTTGATTTCAAATTGTAAAGTATTTAAATTAACAGATCCGATGTCAAATCGAAAAATTCAAATAGAAAGGTTCGATTTGAAATTGAGAAACTCGAATTACAAAAATTTAATTTGAAATTTCAAATCACAAATCAAGAGATTCGATTTCAAGTCGGAAATCACGATAGTAGAGAATTCGGTTTCAGATATTAATTTTAAAAATGAGTTAAAATTTTTATTCTAAACATCTATGTAAAACCATAAACTGTATCGAATTCTATTTAGTTTCAAATATAATACTCTTAAAGATGAACCATAAAACGTGCCATCGATTTGTTAAATATATTTGCGTCCCGTATAGAATGATTACCAAGTGTATAATACCATGTGCAAAACTATAAATCTTATCATCTTATCCGTTTTATCGTAAATGAGCCATAATCTTTACGCATCGCAAATTACGTTTCATAAAATTTGAGTAGCTCCGAACAAATTCGTTCGTATGCACGGGCACGAAATAAAAATTCTGCTCACGCCGCGAATGCTTGATGGACGTCCGTTCGTTGACTCTGGTTTTCAAATTTCGGCGAACTTCTGCTCTGCTCTGTTACACCTTCCCATAAAACATCGTTCTTTATATTGCGTTATAAAACATTTTCGAATATTTGTAGGAAAACACGAACTGGGACATAAATGGGACATCATCGTTTTGATTCAACTTTTATATTTTACATTGTCGTAATCTCGGTGACTCGGCAGTTAGTGTTCCGGTTTGAATTATTGAAATGTTTAAGTGATTCCGTTTCGAGTAAGAAGTTCGTATTTTTATACCTTAGCAATATAGTTTAGTCAAATCTGAAACACAAAATTTTATTTTTATATATAAGACACTAAAAAATTATTTGAATACGAATTATCCATTCACAAATCATCTTTGAATCTTTCCATAATCAGATTAACAACAAAGTATTCAAAAGTGATATCTATAAATCTCGATACTGTTTCCTAAGAATCTTTCGATCGCCTTATAGATTATGAAAATTTACTTTACCGAAGGAAAAAGCGTTTCAGTTTCGATTTTATCGTGCTCTGGGTATCATAGTTGAAGTCGTAAGAATTTGGTTTTTACTCATTTTCCAGCGAAACGAACGTTTTCCGCGATTATTTACGAATATAAGTTTCACGAAGTACAAACACTCGCGTGACGCTTTGTTGATTAACCATTACTCCACTTACGATGCCGCCACACAGCAAAATTACCATGAATTAACATATACGATAAGAGTGACGTTAGCAGTCTGTAAGTACTTTAAATGTATCCAAAGGTATTCAATCGTTGCGCTCTTGCGAAACGCCGCGTGGAGTACGCACGGGACACGTTAACGCTCTATGATTTAGCCGCGAACGGAATTCGATGGAACAGATTCTTGAATACGTTTAATGGCAATCTCGGGACCAGATTAGCACGGTTCATGCTCGCGCATGCCTGCGCAGAGAACAGGTATTACGTTTATGGAGATCGTTTTATACCTGTGATTTGAATATTACTCTGTACAAGTGTATTTCACAGAAGCAAATTCTAATGAGAGACTTATGTTCAAATAAGGAACAGCTTTCGAGCGACTTGTCGCTAATTCTTTCGGTACATTCGACTCGTTCGCGACCTGCTTGTAAATATCACGATATTCACTGAAAATTTATTTGAACATCTATCTTTCATTGATTCTGAAATTTCAACGACAATTTTCTAAAATTTCTCTTCCTGTCCTTCAATTTTTTAAGAGATTTCCTCTCTACTTGTTCACCCTTAGTTTAATGTTTTAACTCGTTACCCTGTGATTTTCTTTTATTGTAGCGTAACACTCTACCTTTCACTAGTATTTTGAAATATCTACTATTGTAATAAAAATATTACTATTATCTAAGTAACAGGTTTGCCAGAAACTTTATAAAGGAAGGTAATACATAAGAATGGATAATTCATAATTCAGTAACATAGTATAAAACAAAATATATCGAGTTTAATATACATTCATACGTTGAATGCCATGGGTCACCGATGATCGGACCTCCCAAATTGCTTGAAAACGATTACAAAAGGAAAACTAATGTGAAACCGAAATATTTAATTACATTTGCAATAAAATAATAGTACGACTTCAAAGTTACGATGCCAAATCTCTAATACATTGAATGCAATCAGGGTCACTGGTGATCCTCAACCAAATCGAATTACTATAGTTCACTCAATCAAACAATGATTATTTGAAAATATTTCTATATTATAAATAATACTACCTAATGCGGTGACATTCAGGTAAATAAACGTGCAATAATGGTAATGCAATTCAATCGAATGATTTAATACTACATTTTGTTCATTTTGAGTATTTTGCTCTATGAAATCGTGCAAAATACAACGTGTTAATCAACCGAAAGAATTTCACCAAACAACTTAATACAATCATTTTTCGATTTAATCTAAAATAAACTTTTCCCTTTAACGTTACGAAGTACATACAGGATTACTCCTTACCATACAATGACAAGTGGGATTCGCGATAAAGATGTCTAGATTAATTAATTAAAAATCAACGTTGTTCTAAATTAACTTCCTATTATTAATTTACTATCTGCAAAGTAAATTGTTACTTACAATGAAATATAACATTTCTTTACGTGTCTTGCAAACTATTAATAATAAAAACTCACACGAGCTTAATGGCAAAAGAAAATAATACGTCAAGGGGTTAAAAACACCCTGAAAGCAGATAGCCGAAGCCGAAGGGCGATTAATATCGCGAAATTTCACCCGGCGATCCCTGTGCGCATAAAGCAACGAGCCAAACTGCATCCCGCTGTGGCACAAGGAAACAAACAATCGTACGCAGCAAAGTTCAGTGCACGTGCGACCGTACGGAGGGAACGCTTGTGAAGTCCGACGATCACCGATCGATTCGTTAAT